CCCCCCCCCACACTAGAAAATCTTTAAAAAAGGCCCTGGTATTCGCAGTTTTTGTATACGCAATAAACATCTAATCTATACGTTGTCAATACTTTGCGAACTTATTGTAAATATATTGTTTTTCATAAACTTGTTAATATCTAGCAGAAAAACAATCATTAATTTTTCTTTGTAAGATGACGCGTACTTAGCCAAATGAATTCCAAAGCAAATATTTTATTAAATGCAGTCATGCTCCAAACTTTTTGGTCGGTTTTGAAAAAGTTCATAATTTTCTTCTGGACCCACAATACACGAAAAAGTTTGAAATTCCATTTGTCCCGAAAGCGAATATTCTTAGTGGACTGAAAGTAAAATAACTCGTTACATGGAAACGAGGCTTGTTGTACGTTTCTGTGATAGAGTTTCTGGTATTTTAATGCGTTTGGTCTGCGCTTTAATTGTTAGCAAATTATGGTTGTGCTCTTTTCTCACCCAAGCTATGCGGTCGTTTCTCAAACAATGAAAGCTAGACTTCGAAAATGATTAATAACGTGCAATGCAGGTGACATTTTTTGGGAAAGTTATTTTTTCATTTCTTCTTCAGTAAAATTGCTATATTATTGTTCACTGGTTAGTAATGATTTTACCATATTATATATAGTAATCTCGAATTATGTATATCGCTTAAAGTTCCGAAAACGGAACTTTCGAGTTGCCTTTGTATGCATGTGATGTTGAATTTGGTTGCTTAGTACATAAGTGCGCGTTAGGACAATACTGGAAATTTCTATTAAAAATTAATTTATCAACTTACCCTCTTGGATGAGAGCACGAGACACCAAGGTTGTTTAAAGATCTCACATGCTCGACACGTCCCACTTCAATGCAGCTGGCTTTGCAAGGTGAAGGAATATTTTATCTATTAAAGAAACACGGAATCTAAATTAAGGTATAGAATAAAATTTCAGATAAAATTAAATTAATACAGATGAATTAGAAATTACAACGCCTAATTTTTAAATTTTATACATTCCGATAATTATTTTATCTGCTGATGTCGAAACTTACAACCACAAAAACCTCGATCTGTATTTTAAAAAGGACGAATTTTAAATATAGTGTATGAATTGCATAATGCTACAGCCGTGTTGAAGTATGTTTATTTTTTGAAAGTTATACTTAAATCTTTGTATAGGTAATCGCATGGGGCGGAGTAAAATTAAGGTTTAATTTCATGCGTGTTTTCAAAGTTTCACAAATTGCCTGAGTCGCGAAGACTGATGAGGGCAATTTGTAAAACTTTGAAAACACAAGTGAAATTAAACCTTAATTTTACGAGTAGCTATGCGATTACTTGTTAATCATAGAGGGAAAAATTTATTCGTATAAAGCTACGTTGTGAACTTGTCAAGTTCTTGAACCTCGTATGTTTCCATGTCTTCGCCCTTTCGCCAATGTTTCTTAATGCTGCCCTGCTTGCCAATATCTTAAAGGAACTCTACAGTCATTTTTTAGTGGAAAAGCCACCTTAAGTAGGGGACTCCACGGAGATTCGTTTGGCTGTATCTTACATGCAGTATCCATGAGTATGAGTACTTTCGCATACCGGAAGACGCATGCATGCCGTGATGCGCATGTCAAGAGCGACAATAACAAAAAAATGCAAACAATACTTACTTGACTAAAAAATGACTGTAGGGCCCCTTTAAATACTCCGACCAATAAATTTGTACTTTTTCTAGTGTTCAACTTTTCACTAGAAGTTTTTAATTCTTCAATAACATCATTATCCACGACGACAAAGCAAAAAGCCATAGTTGTTATTGCTATTCAGTAAAACAAGAAACTTCCCGCTCTTGCGTTTCAGCCAATCAGGTACAAGTAATTTTGCCCTGAATTAAGAAAAAATGCTCTCCTCATTAGCCAATCATATTTGAGTAATTTTGCTCTCTATTTTGATTATAGGTTTAAAGTTTTCGCCTATAACCTGACTTTGTATGTATGCAAAATAATTATTCATTATAGGGCTAGGGGTCTACTAAAATTTTTTAATAAGCTTTTTATTCATTATTTTATTAAATTTGACTTTTCAAAGGATTTTCAGAAGGCATGTTTTTCCACCCGTATACCTCAAGGCGTATTACCGATATATGTTCTCAATTGGGTAATTTAACTGTTTAATTTATAGTTAACAGAACTTCAGTTGTCCGAGGATTGCCTGTAAACTAAGGTTGTTTTTTATTTGTTTTCATAAACAAATAAACTTAGCTTTACTATTTTTATGTTTACATGAAATAAAATCAGTAAAGTCGCAACTCCGAGTTTCACGCTCTTCACGATCCTCAGGCGACGATGTATATAATATACACACAGGGCCGCCGAGAGGGGGGCAGGGGGGGGGACAAATTGCACCGGGCCCCGAGGTTCTGGGGGCCCCTAGACTGAAATTTTTTGTTGGGCACCAGTCATTTTTTTGCGCGAAATATTTCCGTTTTTGGGTCGAAATATTTGTGATTTTTTGGCAGAGAACCGAAATATGGTATGAACAATTTGCAGTAATTTCCCACAACAGCATTTACAACGTACTCGTCCGGAAATTTTTTGGAATAGGGGCCCGCATTCTCGTACCCAGAGCCCTTCTTACGCGCGGTGCGACGAGGGGCTCTGGCCAAATCCATAACCGGATACCATAAAAACATGGTAAGAAAACAATGTCCGGTGTTAGAACTAGCCAATCAGATGCCAGTTCTGAATATGGATTTGGCCAGAGCCCCTCGTCGCACCGCGCGTAAGAAGGGCTCTGGGTACGGGAATGAGGGCCCCGCCAAGCTCTCGGCGGCCCTGTATGTACAGTATATGTTTCTAACGTAAATTTATATGATTTTAGAGGTTCTATGGTTGCATTTTTTGCAGCTGCTCAGGTTTAAAAAGCTGTATAATTTCCGCTCGAAATTACCATCATCAAAATCTCTTGAACATTCATTTCTATTGAGCGATGTGCCCAAAATCTTTTTCCTTTATAACAATTGAACTTTGAACCTTTATTTCTATATATTCAGACGGTGTTCACATTCAAACAGATTGGTTACCAAGATCGGACGCGTTGCGAAGTAGCGTGCAACGTTATATATTTAATGCTATAAGTATAAATATTAGAAATTTATTAAGATACTGATTTTACACAACGAACCTCAGACGACGATATATATATAATATATACAGTATATATTCGGGTTTAAAAAGCTGTATAATTTCCATTCAATATTTGCGTCATCAAAATCTCTTCAACATTCATTTCTATTGAGCGAAATGCCCCAAATCTGTTTCCTTTATAACAATTCAACTTCTAACCTTTATTTCTATTTATTCAGATTAAAAAAGATTGGTTACCAAGAGATAAGAAAAATGATTCTTATTGCAACAAAGAACATTGTTGGCATTCATATCTTGATATATTTTGCTACAAGTCTGGTCGTTTGTAATAATGATATCCCGTTTTGTCGCAAGCGGCTCAATGAACTGAGAGAAAACGAGAAAGACTGGCGTAATCGATGCTTGAATGGTGAAGGCCAAAATCTCGCTACACCGCGCTGTGAAGCAGATAAAGAATACAATTACGAGAGGATGTGTATGTACAAGAAGATATGCTTTCATATTAATAAAGGTAACATTAAACGAATGAAGACTATGAAATGCAGAATGTTTTTATTACTCTGATGTATCAAAACAGAGATTTATACATGCATAGTTCCAGGAAAGAATCTATATTTTCGATTGTGAAAGACATTTCTTTAAGCTAAAGGGCAACACGCAAACTGACTATAGAATAATTCCAGTAAAGTCCAAATTCAAGAAAGTATTTTGTTTTCATAATTTCTTTTAAAACATATGGAAATCAATATAGGGTCTGCTCACACAATTATCTTCTTTCTTTAAATTGATTGTAGTTCTGTAGGAATTCAGAAGGTGCAACAAGTGTCTCTATATAATTTTTCTACTGCTTTTCTAGTCTATAGCAGTTTTAAATATTTGTAGTAATGATATAGCAATGATAAATATTTCTAGTTTTGTCCACGAAACAAAAATGTAAGGGGATGACTTACAGTTCCTTAAGTCGTTCGCCAAAGATTTCAGAAATTGGTTCCTGGCGTTTCCAAATTTTATGCTTTCGATAAATGTTAAATGTGTGTAAACATTGTCTTTGACACACATTCACTCTTAAACAAAATAAGTAAATAGCTTTTTATAGTTAAAGAGTAAAATATAATAAAATATGAATTTATGTTCTCTTGCTAAACATTTATTGACTTAGTTACAAATAGTCTGTGCTAATATGTCGCTCTTTCTGAAGGACTCCCTGCTGAACCCTACTTGCTGATTAAATCAACGTCTGAAATCCACGCCATTGATTTGACAACCCCAAAGACAACTGTGGCAACCCAAACGACAAATATCGCAACCCTAAAAACAACTGTTGCAACCCTAAAGACAAATGTCGCAACCCTAAAGACAACTGTTGCAACCCTAAAGACAAATGTCGCAATCCTAAAGACAACTGTCCCAACCCTAAAGACAACTTTCATAACCCTAAAGAGAACTGTCGCAATCCTAAAGACAACTGTCGCAATCCTAAAGACAACTGTCGCAATCCTAAAGACAACTGTCACAGCAACCCTAAACACAACTGTCGCAAGCCTAAACGCAACTGTCGCAGCAACCCTAAACACAACTGTCGCAACACTAAAGACAACTGTCGAAATCCTAAAGACAACGGGCGCAAACCTAAAGACAACTGCCAAAACCCTAAAGACAACTGTCGCAACCCTAGAGACAACTGTCGCAACCCTAAAGACAACTGTCGCAACCATAAAGACAACTGTCGCAATCCTAATGACAACTGTCGCAGCAACCTTAAACACAACTGTCGCAGCAACCCTAAACACAACTGTCGCAACCCTAAACACAACTGTCGTCATCAGTGGCCTTGCACGTGGGAGGATGGAAATTGACACCGTGGACAACAACTTATACATCGCAGACAGCAACAGCATATCAAGGGTAAACTTGGTTGACATGTGCGTAGAAGTCATTTTACAAAATTTAAGTGTTGATGACATTGCAGTTGACTGGATAAAACGACGTCTATACTGGGCTGAATATTCAAAAAAGCAGATTTCCGTAGCGAATTTGGATGGAAAAAATAAAATTGTGCTAATGAACACAACGAGTTACCCGTCCGGTATAGCAATGGATCCAACATGGAGGTAAGTTTATTGATTTGAAGAATTTCTTTATGGTGTGCTATATATTTGATGACGAATTATTGCGAATCATGCCAAGGGCCGTGAAAATGAGGGGGGGGGGGGAGGACACTGGGGACCGGTGACCCCACTTTTTTGAAAATACAAAAACGCGGCTTTTTTCAAACGAAAGTGCATGCCCGTTTTACATTATAAAATGTTCTCTATTTTAGATAAATACAGTATGTTAGACAAAGTTTGCTAGTTATTTGGAAGCCTACGATCGGTCATAAAAGTTAAGGTGCAAAAATGCGACCAAAGACGATTGGAAATTTTTAATTTATGTTGACTTTAACATCCACATCTCATTTATTTTTTTATGTTACATTACTTTTTGTGTAGAATGCGCATACGTTGAGGACAAATTTTAGGACAAAATCCGGCGTTCAGAATACAGGAAATGGCATTTCCGAGTTCAAAAATTCAAACGTTTCCTGGGAAACCGAATCCCCTTTTTGTGCAAGGTCCAGGGCAACGGTAAAACTTCAAAATGGATCCGGCCCGGGAGTGCCCTTCCAACTCAGAGCCACCTCCCCACCCGCCCCCTCCACTTTTGAGATGCTCTTGCGGCCTCAACCTTGTTCCCAGGCTTTTTCCTCTTAGGAAGGAGATAATCATGGCGTTGCGGCAGTTGCGCTATTTTTCGCTGAGTCGGACCATACGCAAC